ATCCAATCATTTATTTTACAATCCAATATTATTTACTCTCTAAAAGTTTAAAAAAAATTCATTATGAAATCAATACATAATAATATAAATAAATATTCAATCATAAATAACATGTACAAATTATTCGACCAATATACATAATACTATTTTTCATATTTTAACCAAAATGATTTTAAGACATATACACATATGACACATTCGGTGTATACATTTGACAAAAAATACAAAAAAAAAAATTGTGTAGACAACTGTACTTCATATTCGTGCGAAATATGTGATTAAAAACTAATGGCAATAGTGTTATTCTTGAAATAATTACTCGACGTGGAAACGGTTTAAAACAATCTAACAAAATTTACGTAGAAAGCATGTACAAATAACGGTAAATAAAAACAAACAAATAAAACAGTTTTTATCCATACACAGCAGAGTATATTGCTTAAACAGTTATTTTTTTTTTTAATTGACATTGATGTAGTCAAACAAAAACTTAATATTAAACATAAGTTTTTAAAATTTGAAGATGTTTTTGTTTTATTTAATAACACAGAATAAAAGAGTTATTCGAATAAATACGGCGGTGTTTGTAATACTGTTCCGCTTAAAGCGCTTGATATTGTCACTCTAAATAAATAATAAACAATGAAGACTGTTGTCAACTAAGGTAGAAAACTTTATTATAAAAAATAGCGAATTTAATATAAGTTAAATAATTATCAAAATCATGTAGACCATTTAATTTTTCTAACTAAAATTTTGACCATTAAAAACTCACCGCGCCTGGTCAAGTTAAATGCATTAAAAGTATTAACTTTAATAAAAGTAAATACTAGGTTACATGGTGGCAACTAGTAAATGTTTACAACTCTAAGAAAGCTAAGTTTTTTTTAAATAGATTAAAAAATATTTAAATTATTTAAATAAATAAATTTTTAAAATGTAACTGTTGATCTCATTCGTTTCAATGCAAATACTTATAAAAATCCATGCATTTTAATGTTAACACAATTCGAAGTATGCTATTTCCTATATATGTACAGTGTACTAATCATGTAGATAATATGTTGCTAGAAGAAAAAAGTAACAAGAGACAAATCACGTTTTCAATCATTTTAACAAATATTAAATTTTAAAATTTATAAAACGAGAGGGTTTTTTTTAACAAATCAATATATGATCAAACGCCATACGGCATATTCTAAGAAAAACGAGTTATACAATGCAGTTGATCGAAATCCTATTTTAATACATATTTTGGGTACTGACAGGTTGAAATTGTTACCTATTTTTTTTTTCAGAGTAGTGGTTACGTAGGGTCGTACATATATATAACAAATAAATCAAACGACTTGTTATTGCTAGGCATGAGAAAAAATGCCTGAATATTCGGAGTGAACGTACAATTCATGTAAGACAGATCTACAAGACCTATAAGTAAAATATTCAATGAATATCAACGTGCTCTGCAGTTATTGTATATAATGGGATTGGCTATACTTTGATGACTCGTGAAAGTGTTATGTAGTAGGTATTGTAATATTATTCGCCTCATATCAATAAAATTGAATATCTACCTGAGAATATAATATTACACTACTACAGCTCGTATTACTATTTCCATAAAAGAAACATTATTAGGTATCTAGATAGTGATATTATAACATTATATATTCTATTATAAATTAGGGAGTATAGAAATTGGAAAAAAAATGCAAATTAGTTCAATTATTCAAAGATACTAAAAGGTTAACGTACCGTAACGACTTTCATTGAAATTGCCAAATCAATGGATTTAAAAAAAAAAATTATTTTCCAGATAGGAAAATTAAAAAAACAAAAAAAGTGAAACTCGCTTATAAATTGTATTTCCTGCAACAATCAAAACAATTTCAACTGAAAATATCAGTCTGATGATTGATTGTGTCGTTAGAAATTAATGTATTTCGTTCCAAAAATTAGCATTCCTTTATTCGTACTTATTTGGATGGCAGTAAAGAATCTAAGAAGTCGCCATTGAAACTCGCAAAGATACAAATGTGTATAAGATGGACAATAATAAAATGGATTTCAATTATAATATCATGTTCAAGGATTCATAATAAATGGGCGTTAGAAAAAATATGAGACATTGTAAAGCAAATGAATATAAAGAACGAATTGTACATTGAATGATTGTAATGTGTCATTAACATTGTTGTTAATTACGTGACATGTTTTGTGTGTGCATTAGACGAATCGCGTCCATTAAATTCTAATTTTGGTTATACATTTCATTTCTAATAATTACATTATAATTAATTTACAAAAATATATTTTACTTAAAATTAATGTTATATTTTAATTTAATTTTATATTATAACTTCTATTTCACTCATCACAGAAATAATAAACATGGATTTACAATTATGAGATTGACTAAAAATAGACAGCATTATAATATAAGTGTAATAATATTTACAATTAACAATTCTCACAAGCTGTTTATTTTAAATAAACTATTTATACAAATTGATGAAACTCTATCAATACGATCAATTTATTTTTATCAACCATAGGTCGTATATAGTTTCGTTTTACTAGTTTCAAGGAATAACAACAGTTGCAATTGGTAGATAATTAAAAACGTAGCACATAAAAATAACAGTTATTCGCTTTTATTTCATGACTTTTATGAATTATTCAAAATGTCATTTATGATATCTATTGTTTTTACGTGTATTATTTAAAGTCAGATATATGTATATATATATATATACTTAGGTAAATTATAGTATAAGTAAAATCTATCGTAATTAAATAAATATAAAAGAAAAATCAAGGAAGTAAAATAAAATAATACCAACACACTGAATCTGATAAATATACAGCTATCAGTAATAATTAGGACTGGTATTTTAAGTTCTAAAAAAAAATGCAAAAAAGCTTTAAAAATCATATGAAATGCAACAAATTTATTTATTATAGATAAAAAATTATATTGTAAAAATGATGTTACCAAACTTATTTAATTAATTTTAGTTAACATAATAATAACAAAACAGGTACTTATTTGTTTAACATTTACATTTTTACTTTATTTAAATTTAATTTATTTCAAAACTTGCTGTTATGATCGTTGTTGGACTCTTGTAAATAGAAAAATTTCTTTCGACTATATTAATGTTGTTCTATTTTTGACACATGGATCGATATGCTCGTATTTATTAGTTTATAAATTCAGTAGATTACATACGAAACGTGTAAGTTTTGAGCAAACAAATGCCGAAACGCATAATCAAATACATTAATGTTTAAGAATTTATCAATAAATTCTGAAAAATGCTCTAAAAAATTAAAAAATAACCTGAAACAGCAACATATGATCAAAAAATGCATACAAAGATAAAGTTGTTATAAAATGCAAGAAAATGCAAAGTAAAAATTACATTAAATTAAACAGTATCACTTGAAATTCATTTTCATTTGTTGGGACAAAAAAAAAAAGATGAATTTGCATCAAAATCCCAACTCTAGTGTTAATGAATCTCTAACGCTCAAAATATAATAATAAGGATTATAATGGTTATAAATGGTAAAATATAATGGTAATAATCATGATTTTAAAAGTAAAATAATTACAAGAATTACATTGTATCAAAATTAAGTTTATATATTTTAGAAATTATATAAATTAGTAAACGTTATGATACCGTCGTTTGTTTAAAAATCTTATTAATTAATTAATAATTAAACATAAGTATTTAAGTAATAAAAATACATATTACATCCTAAAATGGTAAAAAAGAAAAGAAAATATGATTGTTCTCATTTTATCATTATGACTATCAACGTGTTCATATTCACGGATGGTTGCATATTCCCAACATCCAATTACAGTATATGCAGTTTTTTCTCTCCAGCAAAAGATTAAACTCAATCCTACCATGTTGTGGGACCATGTGTAGCGTGTAGCCTATTTTTAAAACGTCTAATTCGTAACGTTAAATTCTCATGTATATAATACTATTAAGAGTAAGGCATCGTCTTTGAAAAATAGTCGAAACAGACATTAATATGTAATGAGTAGTAGGAACTACATAATTTTAATTATATTATCTAAGAGAATGTTTCTTATTCGATAATATTAACATAATGTTTTTATAAATATATGTTTTGTAGTAAAATAACAACACTTTATCCGAGGAATATAAAATAATAATATACTCGTACCCTACTAATTCAATTAAAAAATACACTATCACAAATATGAGTATTTGAGTAACTACTGTTATCAGTAGATTATTTTGAACAGCGATTTTTGTTGCGGATAAGTCTCTTCAGTGCATTGTTTACCAGGTATTAACACTATAAACAATTATCAATATTGATTTGAATTTAATAGAAAAAAAAATTATATTTTATATGTTGACAACTGAATTGTCCAAGAGTTGAGAGTATTATAAAATAGCTAACAAAATAATAGTGATACTAAAAATGTATAACCAAAGTGTTCACAATAATAAAAGTTATTTTTATTCAAAACTTAATTTTATAAAAAATCAAGTATACTGAAAAAAAAAGAGGTGCAAACATTCATAAATAATATTGATGCATTATGTTCAAAACAATATTTGTTATTCAATGTTCATGCTCTGAGTCATGAAATATCTAAATCATGATGTTTGCTAAAATTAATAACATACTGACTATCTAATTAACTTTTTTTATGACTTATATATTTTCTATGTAACAAATCAACAAGACATTGACAAATAAATTAAGAATAATTATAAATATGATGTGACGAAAATACATTTTAAAACAATGTAAATGTTTGATATTTTTATTGTCATTTAGGTAAATCTTAAACTAATTAAATTATTTAACAATGTATGTAATGCAAAAAACTTATATACGAGTAACTTATATATAACAGATAAATTTAATATGAACACACATCATTTACAATCGAATTAAGTACGATTTGGTACTCGTTTAATTAATAATGAATAAAATCTTACTTTATTGTTTACGGGTCGATTGAAATGATTTGAAGTATTTTAAAAACAGACCATATTGATCCAAAATTGAAAAACTGTAGGTTGGTAATTGGGAAATAAGCTGTTAGTAGAAACTACTATTCGACGAAATCCGTTTTTAATATTATTAGAGTTGTGACTCAACTACTTACCGCGCACTACGTTCGCGATTCAACGTCTAAAGTCTGACTGATAGCACGAGCCTCAGTAATGTGCTATCCACATGAGCGGCGTCGATTACGCCACGAACGGGACATGGTCGTAAACAGAGGCATAGCCATTTACCATCACTCCGTAATGGACTATATTATGACGTGGATTGCACTGTAGTTGCTGCAATAGCATTTCCTAATTCCCCACACGGTGAAGAATTGAAGTGTTATACATTAGGAAAACCGTATCGTATGAGTTTCTGATGCGAAATAACAGAGAGAATTATTACAAATAAAACCATTTTACAGCTGAATATTATTTATTAATCAACTCGATAGTTAATTAAACATTTGGACCGAGTTTTAGTGCTTAGGTAGGTAACTTATAAAATCTTGAGAAAAAAAACTGTCTAGATACCGAAGTTAATCTAGGAAATACAACCTATCTAAATTTAGCTATCCATTTAAGGAAAATGTCAAGACAACTAGTTGTGGGGGACCACTAGCACTCTAGTAAACACATTACGTTAAGCATTTTTTATTTTTATTCTAGTGATAGATACTCGGTAATGACTTTTTGTTTTCGTTTTATCATAATTTCTTTATTCAGACGTGCTTCAGGCATCAATTATTTAAAAATTAATAACAAACTTAACAATTTTAACTTTTAATTATCGTAGCATACTCTAGTATTGTATTATATTTACAATGAGTTATTGATTAGCTACAATTTATACGTATACATTCAGGATATAATGTTCCAAAATGTATGTGAATATTATTATTTTTATTAACTGAATTCTTATATATTCATGGATATATAAAGAGAAATGTTCAATATTAATTTTGATTTGAATAATTTTATAATGATTACAATCAACAACAATTCTAAAATAAAGTAAATTAGTTTGAAACTTAGGTAATATAAAACATTAAAAATTGAACGAAAAGAATTAAATAATTCTCCAAGAGTGAATTATTGACTATTCAGCGTATGAGTTACATGTGTATTAGTGCTCTACACGGTCTGTTGTTCTAAGGACCAGACCGGACTTTAAATTTTACCAGGAGACCGAAGTTGGACCGGGCCACACTTAAAGGTTAATCAAAGACCAAAATTAGGCCGAACCGACGGCTTCATATTTTTTTTAAACAGGACCGGACCAGTAATTAAATAACATTTAATAAAGTAGATCGTGGACTGGACTGTCGGTCCGATCTTAAAACATTTTGGACCGTTTATGTACTGGTCCGTATAGTTCAGTCTGTATTAGCCTGGACAGTACTATATGATGCCGTTTAGTATTAAGGTTGATTCACACTGAACCGACACTCGCAGACCGGCATCGGACCGCATAGACTCGTACCGAACCGAAATTTTAAGAAGTATTCACATAGTACCGTTTTGCACCAATAGACACAGACCGTCATAAATGAAAAGTAATTTATTTATACGCACAGTTAAGTTAACTACAGTGAACTAGTGCAACGAGTACTGCAACGCGTAATATTGATTTTAAAACCATGTTTAAGCACTTGTCCACCATTTGGCCATGATGGCAATAGCCTTAGACGAAGAAGAGCAAAAACTACTAAAAATTAAAAAACGTATTTGGGTGCATGATATTTTAAAACGGAGAAAAATAGAGGGTGAATTTTATAGTTTATGTGGATCTCTTGAAGATCACGAAGAAAATTTATTTATTTATTTTAGAATGTGTTCATATCAGTTCAATATACTTCTAACACAAATTTCAAATGACATAACTAAACAGAACACACACTTTAGAGAAGCTATACCGGTTAAACAGAAATTGGCTGTATGTTTGAGATAAGAAAGTATATAATTATTGTTATTTTCGTCTACTAATATAATCTAAAAAAAAAGAAAAATATTGTATTACAACATTTATTAACAATTGTAACAATAAAGTGCAATTAAAATTTAAATGATAATGATAATGAATATATAGTTACAATTTTGTTAAATTATTAGTCATGTGTAAATGTTTGGAAAAAATTGCCTATAGATGTTGATATATCTGAATCTGAGGGGTGTTCTATCGGACTAAGAGTATACGCTTGTGTCGATTGAGGTATTGATTGAAATCCTGACGTGTTTTGTTGTTGGTGCAATTGTTGTAATTTTAAATGTTCTAGATCCAACTTGGATATTATGGAAAAAACTTTAGTTTTAACTAAATGCTGATGATACGGAGAAAATTGTTTCACTGTTGAACTCATACTCTGAAAAAAAATTATCAATCACATCAATTTCTGTTTTATAATTTGACTTAACTTCTTCTTCTTTTTCTTTTTCAATAATGTATTTCATCAAATGCGAGGACGCGGATTCTGAAGTGGTACAGAATTCTGTTTTTTTTTTCATTTTTTCGGAGTCATAATTTTCTTAGGTTGAGGTGCACAAAATGTTTGAGATGGTGCCGGTAGTGTACTATGTGTAGTATTTTCATCAGGTGAAGAAATACTCTCCATGGTGATATTGTCAGATTGATTAGTTTCATTTTCAGAAATAGTTTCATTGTCTTCTGCATCGGAACTATTTTTCTCCACATCACTTTGAGCTTCAACTAAGGATACTGTTTCCCTTTCCTTCATATATGGTTTCAAAAAATTCATCTCCAATTCATATTTCCATTTTTTTTAAATATTTAGTTTTTTTACCCGACACTGTAGCATTTTTTTTTTTTTATAGCTCTTCTATAAGCGTCTCTTAAATTTGCCCATGCCTTTTTACATTCTTGTGCTACAAAAATAATCATTTTTTTTTAACTTTTATTACAAATTTAATTAAAAGCAATAAAATGATTTACATTTTTTTAATTGTTTCTTTTTATAGATTTTTAGCAACTGGAGATTCCTACCAAACTATTGCTTTTAGTTTTCGATTGGGTCATTCTACAGTACATTCAATTGTTATAGAAGTGTGCACAGCAATCATAAAAAATTTAACAAGACAATACATACCACAACCAAAAAAAAGAAAATTGGGAGCAGATAGCTAATAATTTTTGGGATATTTGGAATTTCCCAAATTGTATAGGCGCTTTAGATGGGAAACATGTTGTTATAGAAGCACCTCCCAATAGTGGATCTATGTACTATACCTAACTATAAAAAAAAATTGTCTATAGTTTTAATGGCATTATTTGATACACACTATAGATTTATTGCTGTAGATATTGAAACGTACGGTAAAAAACAGTGACGGAGGTATTTTTTCAAATTCCAATTTGGGAAAAGCACTTGAACGAAAAAAAACTTAATATTTCTGATGGAAAATCACTACCGGGAACTATTGAAAAATTACCATTTACAATTATTGGTGACGAAGCATTTCCTCTAAAGACATACTTATTAAGACCATACCCAGGTCCTCAAATATATGTAGATGATACTGAAAAAAAATTTAATGACCGACTATCTAGAGCCAGGAAAGTAGTGGGAGATACATTTGTACAACTTACTCAAAAATTTCGTATTTATTCAAGAAAAATAAAAATATTACCACAAGAAGCCGATAAAATTATCATGACTACATGTATTCTTCATAACTTTATAAAACAACATGGAAATAGTATTTAATTATCAACATCGTTATCAATAAATACAGCTTATAATATAACATTGATTTCAAAACACGGAGGAAGTGCTCCTCAAGAAGCATTTGAAATTAGAGAAAAAGTTAAAGACTTATTTGTTCACCTTTCGGACAGCTGCCATTCAAATAATATATTTTAATGATCGTTATTTAACTATTTTAGAGTTAAATTTTTCTATTATAAAATTATACAAATTATATATCTAATAATAATTTTTTAAAAAACGAGTATACCATGTGATATATTACTTTAAATTAATAAATAATTTAACTTTAGTAGTAGTCGTGACACTAACCTGGTTGATTCATTTCATGTCCTATTTCCTTCCATAAAGATTCTTTAAAAGAATAGTCACTATACTTTTTGTGACTGAGATCATACAAACAATTTCTAACTCTTACTAGCTCAATTAAAATTTCATTGTCCATTTTAATTAAAATATAGTTTTAGATTTGCTGACCAACTACACCACACAAGCCTGTACAACACGTACTAAAAACGTATCAAAATTTAATATTGTTGGGTATAATATTATAATGTTTATATATTTAATAATAGATATCATACAGAAAAATATGTTAGTAGTACTCTATATATATTATATTTTGGAAAATAACGCGTTATCACGTTCATATCCCACCGGCACGGACACGCACCGACAAAACTTTCTTTCATACAATGATTGTCGGTACGGCGCGGTCCGGTATCGGTCTGCAAGTGTCGGTTCAGTGTGAATCATCCTTTACTCTAGACCGAACTACCTGGACCTTATAAATAAATATATACCTAAATTTGTAGGTTTTTTCGTTTTATTTGTTTACATAACAATAGATAACTGTATTTAGATTTTAAGTTGCATAATTGGGATCGGACTGAAAATAATGCATTTGATCTGAGTACTGGACCGAACTATTTCTAAAAATTATTGAACCGGACCAAAACAACGATTCAATAGTTTTTGTATATTAGAACTGTACTAGACCGGACTGATTAAGACCGGACCATGCAGAGCACTTATGTACATACTAAAATAAAATATTTACTATATATGGAACTTCCATGGAAAAATAAGAAATTAGGTTTAAAAATACCAAAAATATTTCCCGACATGAATATATAAACAAAATGTCATACCAAGAAGTAATAATTATTTATTGATAATACACGAATTATGATTATGAATACAAAACTTGTATATTAAAGAAAGTCAGGTTGGTTACAGAATTTATAATTCAAGAACTTAATTTAATTAACTTTAATTTTTTTAAGTTTTTTATTTAACATAATTTATAATTCAAGAACGACTGGACTGATTTTGATGATCTCCGATTTTTTGGATTCATCTCCGTACAAGAATAAAAATAACTCTAATCTTGGCAAGAATATAGAAAATTATCTAGATAAGTAAAAACTTAATCTTAGATAAATAATTAGATAACTAAGCGTTATTCATCTAGATAAGATAAAATATGACAAAAAATCTATCTATCTATAGATAAGTCCCAACAGTGGTTATGGGTTAGTGTATCTTAAACCGTGGTTTTTATCAACTATCAGAGATAACGTTTCGTGGTGATAGGAAGATGTGTAATTGTGCAAAAATGTAAACGACCTGCCGTTATTTTTTTTTCTCCCATGACTGTCTGACTTCCATAGCATCTTTGAAAAAATGACGTATCGTGAACATTTTAGTAAATAACGCGTTTGATGTCGCTTGTTCGTAAGGCTAACACTACTCCATTTTGAATCATGTTCTGTGTTGCTTCAAAGTTGTATAATCTGATATAGGTTTTATGTGAACTTAATTAATTAAATATTTTCTAAGCAGACATTGTTGCCTACATCATATAGGCAAACTCATAAATATGTCGGAAACGTTAGAATTACGTAAAATTTGTGATTTGAAGGTACCTGAATTGCGTTCGGAGCTTGAAAAACGTGATTTGGACAAAACGGGAGTAAAAGCAATACTTTTAGAACGTTTGCAAAAGGTAAGTACTCATTGTTAGCTTATCAAATGTATTACTTATGCCTTAAATATAGTTAAAACATAAAAGTTAAAATATCCTTAGGATAAGTGAAGGTTAGTATTTCAGTATTTGAATTCATGATGAACATATTTTTTTTGTATTATATATGATTTTTAACTTTAGAGTTATGAAATTATTTGTTGAATGTTTTCTATTTTATTTAATGTAGTAATCTATTATTTCTAGGAATTTCATTATAAATTATGTTCTGTAAAGGTTCATTTATTTATTATGGTGACATTTTTGTTAACAGTAGGTAGTAACATATAAATTATTTATATTAACCTTAAGGTATGCATTAAAGTTAATAACTCGTACTTCATATTTGTGTTGAAGAAATGTTTTTTAATTTATTCAAGTTAATAATCTGCAATCTCATTACAGTACCAATTTTCAATTTCAACTTTTTAAAACTCGCCTGTATTCAACATTTATTAAGTTAATTTAACAAAAAACATGATTAAAGTATTGTAAATTCTAAATTTCTTATATTTTGTTCCTAATAAAAATCATGCTTTGGCATATGTTTAAAATTTATGAGGTTAAACTAAGGGTGAAATTTACGATTCAAAAATTTTAATCGACTTACCGATAAGGTTTTATTGATTTATCGATTTCTTTTATTAATATAAATGTTATTCTTCGTGTAATATGCTACAGTCATACTAATAATCTGTAATAATAAAATAACTTAATTTTATGATTTTTAATTTGACTGTTTTTAAATTAATTATTAGTCAGGTTAGTTACACATATTAAACAACTACCTAAAATTTTAGTAATTTACAAAATACAAAAATTTACAAGACGAGCACATAAAACTTGGAATAAAACCCAAAATTGAGTTCAGTGAAGGCAGATATATGAACAATATTAGCATAAAATGTCCATAATGACAATAACCGTGATAAAAGAAATTCATAGATTTATAAAACCTTATTAGTAGATCTTTTAAAATGTATAGATTGTGTATTTGATTATTTTAGTATTGGATACTAGATGAATTACGTTGTTGTTGAGTAAGTATAAAAATGTACATAACCTGGCAAGATTAAATTTTGTTTAATCTATTGAAATTTAAATTAATTAAGATTGTTGAAACAATATTTTATACATATTAATTTATTTTTTAAAATAATTATTATTATCATAACCTTTTCTATAAGTTATAGCTTTATAGCTTGTGGCGCCCGTAGCTTTGTTTATGATAAGTTCTAGCAGTAAAGGTTTAAAATAAATGTTTTACTAATAGTTTTTCAAAATTTTGTCTAAAGAACTTTGTAGACAATATTCTTCACTGATCTATTAGTAGGCGACATAATCATATATCTACTGGGTAAGTTTACGCGTGAGTAAGCTACATAGAACTGTTCATGTGAAAAACAGTTTCCTCGCAAGTCTATTCCTGCAAATTTGAGTCTGGCCTTGAAACTTGTTTATAGTCATTGCAAAGCAGACTAAGGGAAAACTAAAGTTGTTTTTATTTCCGAACGGAAGATTGTTCGGAATTAAAGGAATTTGTGGTACAAACACAGTTTCTCCTTTCGCACATCCAGTTAAAATTATGGCTTCCACTATACTGCGATGTAAAGCTTTGACTTTAAACTTGGTTCCCATTACACAGTTTAGGTGGTTTAAAATTTTACAACAACTTAATAGGTATACCCACTGTGCAAAATAAGCCCATGATATGGCATACCTCGTGGCTTCAATGAATTTAAAAATGTAACCGGATAATTAGTTGTATCGTCTATGTTGACAACTGTATCTATTAAAGTATATACTTTTTCTTCCTTTCAAAAGACATCAGTAGTGTATTATTGATAGTTGCCACTTGGTCATTTTTTGGAGTGAGTATAGCACGTTTACACAATCATTCCATAGGTTTATCATGAATATGAGCAGTATTTGGATACATTTGATACATTATTTGTTGATATTAAATCCTGAGCCGTAGTTACAACTGTGCACAAATTTTCTGGAATAGTTATCATTTCATCAGATGATGGATAATCACCATTGCCAATTTCAAGTAAAAGATCTACAAATCTACTAGCAAATTTTTCCTCTCCCAAGTATACCCTCATATTTTTTGACAGTTTCAGTATATTAATTAGAGGAAACAAAGTAGATCTTTTAAGACATCACTTGACTTCATCAGTTTTAGTCTTTTTTGGTACTATTGGTAGAGTCTGCCTAAAATTTTTAGCCCACAAAACCGTTACTCCACCCATTAACCTTTTATTTCCCCTTATATTCTTTAGAGATCTGTTTAAAGCCTCAATACCAGCCTTATGTGCCATTGCAATTTTGTTCCACATTATTATTTTTGTATTTTTTAAAACTTCTGCAACTTACAAATGGGAGTGACCAAAGTTGTTAGATTGAATGATAATTTTAAGGTAGCATGGGCGAACTGACCACCCTTGAGTAGTGTAGCTACGATTCCAAAAGATGCTACAGCTAAAGCAATGTCATTAGTACTTCTAATTTACGCTAAAGTCAAATTGACTAAGAAAGTTTTATTTTTATTTTTCCATTTTTACACTTTATAACCCTTTAACTCAACTCCCTTTTCCTATACTGTATATTAGAGTATTTTAAAGGAAAACCTATAATTTTAAATCTTATTAAATTTTTTAATTAACTTTTTTCTTGAATTAAATGTACCTTAAACTTGCAAATAAAATTACACTTATGAATCATATTAAATTAAAGTACATAATTAATAATAATAAATTTTATCAAATTATCATTTTAACTAATAATATTTTCCCCGTACAGAAAATAATATCACCAATAAATGATAAATTATTTATAGAGTATTTAGTGGAACTGAAAAAATATTGTTTATAATATATCATTGGAGTATTAAGTCTTAAAAAGTCTTAAGGTTTTCATTTTAAATCTAAAATATTTAAGTAAGTTAATTCAAATGGATTGAGTAAATTATATTTACTCTGGTTTTAGGCACTTATTGATGAAGGAGAAAATCCAGAAAATTATGTATTTGATAAATATGAATCATTGATATCAGAGAAAAAATTATCTCCTGTCACTAAAAAAAAAGAAACCAAATCAGTAACTCCTACAAAAACTGTAAAGACCAATGTTGTTGGAAAGAAACCGGGTCCTAAATCTAGTAAGTTATTTTTAATAAAATATTTTGTAATCATCATTTTGCATATAAAATTTTTTAATATAGATGTACGTATTATACAGTAGGTTATATATACTATTCTATTATTTAGTGTTATAAATTATAATTGTGCATTTTGTTTTGCAATTTAAACTATAAAAAAATTTATGATAGTATAATTTAAATTTTACTAATTATTACATTTGACAAAAGCCTTAATGAAGACAGTTTAAATTTGTTTAAGATTAAAAATGTATGCATTTATTTGGAATTAAAGGATTAAGTGTATACAATAAAAATTAAATCATAGTCAGTTTATTTTTCTAACAAATTGTATGACTGTTTAAAAGTATTTGCATTTAGATTTGTAAATTTTTTTAATCTAATAACTTATTTTTCTTAAAACTAATCTTTTGTGACTGTTTTTCTTTACTTTTATTTTTTTTTGGAATTTACCCTACAAATTAGATTGTTCATCTCTTAAATGCTCTTTACATCGGAGTAATGTAAATGTTAAAATTATTTATGATTAATTATGTAAAAATTTTATTATCCATTAAAACTGTACATTTTTTCATTTTCTAATTTTTGAAAATTACTTGTTTTGAAGGTTGTTCAATATTTAATAAACATTTATTTTTTATTTTTATTTCTATAGCTAAACTTTTTTTACTCAAATAAGAGAATTTTCATTTATATTTTCTTCGATCACATCTTTATTTTTGTCAAAAGATTTATCTACAACCTCTTCACTAGTATCTATGCTGTCTTACCTTTGATTTAGTTATTTGCCTTCATCTTTTAAATTATCAGAATGTTTATTATCTAATGTAATGTTGTATTAATCTTAATCCTATCATCTTTTTCAAGTTCTTTTGTACATCCTTTATAACTTAAATCAATAGTAGGGCAATCAATTACAGGAGTTTCATTTGCATGACGTGAAATTTCATCTAGTTAAACTCCATCAGCATAAAATTCCTTGGTTTCTGTTTCATTAAAATCAGTTACATTAGAGTCATTTGTATTAAATGATTCTCTTCAGTTAAAACAGTAACAATACTATTCTCAGCTTTTTCTTGTTTAACTTCATAATTTTTCTTTTGTTGAACCTCTTAAACAGCTTTTTAAATTTATAGCTGTGGTACACATATTTCTAAAACAGACAGACAAGATATTATAAATTATTTATTATAAACTTTATAAAAAAAATTACACATAAACATAAAAAAAAAAAAGAGTAAATCTCTTAGTAAACCTCTTAGTCCATATTTTATTATTAAAAAGAGTAATAATAATTGAATTATCCATATTGTTAGGGAGCGGGTTGATGGATAGCTGCACAACATAATGTTTATATAGTAAAGAAAAATTTAGTTTATTTAATAATTTGAACCCCCAATGGCGATGCATGAAAACAAAAAAAATTGATAAACAAAGTTAACAATTTAAAAATTAAAATTAATTAAAACAATTAAATAAAAATAAAAATTTATAATAATAAAAAATGATACAACATTAGTGTATTGAATTCACTATTAGCATGTTTTTAGGCAATTCAACAACCTTAAAAACATGTAATTTTTAAAGACTAGAAAATTGGAAAATGTACAGTTGTAACAAATAATAAAAATTGTAACTTTAGCTATAGATGAAGATAATATACAAGATGAAGAATTAGATCATGAAGTTGATGAAGAGGAAATCAAAGGCAGTACTGAAAATTTTAATGAAATTAATGACACTGTAAGTTAAATATTAAACTTAATTTCAAAACAATTTTTTTTAAAAATATTAAAATATTTTTTTAGGAAAAATCTATTCCAGAAAATAATAAAGATGACAATAATGAAGATTCTATAAATTTGACGATTGGAGAAGATGATATTAAATTATTTGCTGATGAGGTAATTACATAACTTTATATTATAGAAATATAGAATTTTTTTCTGTTGATTCTTACATTGCTTTGTTATATATATATTAGATATATGAGGGTTGTTAAATTATAAATAGTAAGGTTAATTTGCTTTAATTACTACAAAATAACACTCAGAAACCTTTTTATTCTCTTAAATTAAATAATAAATACATTGTTCGTGTTATAGTATATAGTGTTTATTTACATTAATTAATTTATTTCACATACCAGTTTTTCCTTTCATAATACATATTCTATACTTTTTTTTAAACATTTTGAAATTTCAATGTTATAGAGTGTGGGTCAATATGTTTATGATCTTTATTTATTAATAAATAATACTACTGAAATTATTATTTGTTTTGTATTATTGAGCCTTTTTATTTTAAACACAAAAATGCTAATTGAGATCCCATGTACATTAATGAAATATTATGTATGAATTATTGCTAGGTACTTTGAAGTTTGGATAGTATCATTGTGAGATTTTTCTAAATATTGATTAAAAATCACAACAGATTATAACAACGTATTCAAAATTATATTTTCTTTAGATGTACATATTAATTTTACCATGTACAATTAATGTGTTAAATTATAAACAATTCTACAATATTTAAAATGAATTAATTTGAAATAATTAAGTTAATAACTAATTCATGAATTATACTACTGGGCTTAATTAAAAACATTTTGAGTTATGTTTATTTAATAACATTTAAAATATAACTTGAATTAATATAGTAATTAAAAATTCAATATATTTTGACAAGTTATAGTAGAATTTAGATGGGCCCAGAATAAGTCAATAATAATAATATTATATTGAAACAATTATGATACATAATAATGATTAAATGATGATTAGTATTTTTATAAAATTTAAAATTGTTTTGAGTATATAATTGTTTCTATTAGTTTTTGTTTTTTTTATTGTTAATTTATAGCTTATAGAAATGTTTGTATACGATCTCAGTGTAACTTAACAGTGATTTTCAATTGGCTTTAACAGTTATGTGTGTGAATAATATTAAATATTTTTTCGATCAAACTACCAACTGTTATTATGATTTTATTTCTGCTGTCCATCCAATTTTATGTTTTAAATAGTTGAATTTGATAATTTTATATTAATTTTAATTAAATGTTGTAAATTATGTCCCTGAGTATCAAAATATGATTGTTCCATAGTTATACAAATTATTAGTTATAATCAACTATTTTTCGTAACATTTATTATATTGTTATACCCCTTGATTACTTATTAGAAATTAATTTTATATTATTATTTTTTTTTTTCAGGAAGATACAAATATTGAAAAAGAGGGTAATTATAAATAATATATTTCATTTTTAGATAAAAAAAATCTTAATTTCATATAAAGTATGTTTAAATTCAAAAAAGTTATGGATAGAAAAATATGTAGGAACCATTGTTTTTTTAAATTAAGATTATCAAGTAATTATATCTTAATATGATAACTATGCTGATTTGGAACTTGTTCATTTGTGTAATTTGTATATATAATCAATCAATATGAGTTTTACAATGAAGATTTGAAGATACACAAAATCAAGAAAGAACTGAATTTGTCATATTTTGATAACGTTTCAAGTAGCTGGGAAAAACGTGAAGAATATTGTGAACATCAATCAAGCATTCAATATTTTGTTATCAATGAAGTCATAAATTTTATTGAAATTCATATTTTTCCAAAAAACTGACATTTGATTGAAAAAGATGTTTTAGATATTTTAAATAGGTTATATAATTCTTATGGTTTTATCACTTACAAATTAGTTATTGTAAGTTCCTAACTAAATTTTTATATTAACTTGATATAAATAAACTTAAGTAATAGTAGACTCCAATAACTTGGTTATCTATTGTTTATTCACAATAAATTAAATATATTTTACTATGTAAAGACTTATGTCTAACTATAGGTGATATATTTATATATATCTTATTTATATTTTTGTAAACTAATTAATTTTGATATTTTTATTATATAGTATGTTTTGTTATTTATTCAGTTGGTTCATGCACTAACCATTTATAATTTTATTATTTATTTTTATAGCATTATTTTATATTTGTTTTTCTTCATTTAAAAGTTAAATTTAGGTTCAAATTATAATTAACATGTTAAATATTATAAATACTTTAGGTACATTGAGTTTATTATTAGATAATTTGTGACTTGTGTTTTATGTATATTTAATTTGTGTGACGAAATCTAGACGAAGTGATCGAGAACTGTTCCAAAGAAGAAACGTCATTGATCAAACAACGTGAATCTCGTCATCCTGTTATTGCTAATAGCAGTAGATCATCAACTGGGTCAGTCAAAAGCCGCCGGAGTACAACTGAGAAACGATCATCTGTTGGGGATAAACCACGCAGTATCCACAAAGATGACAAGGACAACAGCAATGCAAAACCCATCATCAGTGTCAGTGTACCCAAAGATGAGAAGAAAGAAGAGGAGAAACAAGTTAAAGATAAAGTGGAACCTGGCACTAAGCAGAGGTTTGTTTTGCACACGGTCTCGACTACTGATTCTTTACCCCTTCATCGGAAAATCACGTCAAGGATTGATAATGACAACCAATTAAAAAAAAAAAAAAATTATAATTTTTAAAATCTCTTTTAGCAATGCTAAGTTTGAACAAATACCGTTTAGTTTTCCAGATTGTTAACGAACAAATATATATTAACGTGAACAAATTGCTAGTATATTATAACTATCTGTATACACCAATTTGCATGACAAATTAATGGAGATTATTTGTTGCAACAATTTCTATATATTTTGGAGCTGAAGTCTATTTTATTTATCTAGGGATTATACTTTTGACTTTTGTGTATATTTTATGAAATATCATTAGATGTATGTACCATTTTATTAATTGATTAATATTCTTTTATTCACAAATTTTGCCTAAGATTTTATTTGAAGTTATTAATTTAGTTATTTAAGTATTTTATAATCCATTTTAATTTAAATTTATTTTTATTTTTATCGGTCAACATCAAATAACTAACTCTTTGATATTACATTATTTTTTTTAAGTTTTATTCAATTGATGATCCTCTAAGCATACAACTGTTGAAATAATTTTTGAATTTCTTTGTGTTTAGTTATATATATATTTTAATTACTTAATCATTTAATATATAAATTAAATAAAAATGTATTGTCTAAAATATTGAAAAGCTATTTGTTGCCAAATGGTTTTAAGTTTCAACTATATTAATTCTTAAAAAATTGTTAGTTTAATTTTTATTGTTTATTATATTTGATACTTATTAATAATTTAATTTTCAACTATAAATTTAAAAAAAAAAAAATTTTGAAAAAATTAATATAAATAAAAAAATGGTACATACATCGATCCATTAAAAAATTTAATTTTGACAAAAAATATATAGTTTCGAGTTAAAACTAAGAAGTCACTTGAAAATAATAAGTTATTGCCTTTTGATTGAACCTCTTTATAATTATATGATTAAATACAAACCAGTTTTTAAATGTTTGTATAAAACACTATATACTTTGAAAAATAAAGTATTAGATATATTAAATAACACAAAATTGTATAATCATAAGCCTAGCTGATGGAATTTATTATGCAGACTAAATATAGATGAACAATTAAAAAAAAATTATGGAAACCAGCCGAAGACTTTTTTTTTGAAGATATAAGTCATTAAAAGTCACAGCAAATTTATAGAATGTTGTTATTAATTATACAACGAGTAAATTGATTTTCTTAAATCAATTATACACAAGAAAAAGTATAACTTAGTAGAATTTGAAATTCTATTATTAACTTTGTAATGATCAATATTGATGTAAAATATAAATGTTCTACTACAGTGCTTTTTATTCAACCTTTAAAATATACAAGTACATTACAATTACTTTGTAATGCCAAGATAATATTTACTGTTGAAAATAACTAGTTATTAATGTTAATATTTTGTATACTGCAAGAATTAAACTTGATGTTCTATATGGAAAAATGAAAATTACTGCAAAATTAGTAAGAAATCAGTTTTATAATTTGAATTATACTTAAGTCATACAAAATGGATAACTTGACACCTGGAAGAAATGACAATCATGATTCAGTATTAATGTATAATCTATGTATACATTACTTATAAACTAAAACTTATGAAGATATGGTATTTGTTAATCATTTTATTTCTGTGGTGAACTAATTGTCTAATTTTTCTTTCATTTGGCAATATTTTTTCAAGTGACTTTGATGTTAAATATGTGACTCAATAACATTTAAGTAAAATTATTGTGATTCGTTTTTCTTTAATACTGTAACATGATGTATCAATGAAATTGAGTATGATGACAATAAATTTGAATGCAAGGTGATTTTATATTAATTTTATGATTATCAAGTATTTGATAAATATGTATGTCAGTTTTATATAGTTGGTATACTATTTAAATACTTATTTTTTATTTAAGTCAAAACAAGGAAGCAAGTAATAATTTAATATATTTTTTTATGTGTGAAATAAATGTATTTTTTGTATGTAGCAGATTGTTAAAATATTTTTGTTATATTTATATGAAGCTAATTGATTTTTGTTTTGAATATTTTCAGTACTGATTCTAAGTCCCCACAAGTACCAAATGATACTTGTAAGTTTAAACATCTGTGACTACTTTATAAAAATATTATTAATTATTTTTGTTTAAATTGTTTTAGCAAAAAAAAATAATACATCTTTGGTACGTAACATCTGGGTTAGTGGTTTATCATCAATTACTAAAGCTACTGATTTGAAGCAACTATTTTCAAAATACGGAAAGGTAATATTAATGATTAGTTATTAGTTATCATTAGTTGGTAATAATTGCAATATATATTATAATTATCAAAATTGTTGCAAAATATTATATGTTTAATGGTAACATATTATCAATTACAAGAATGATAGATTTTATTACTTTTAATTGGTAAAAGATAAATAAAGAGATTATACAATGTACATGTAGTTAACAAAGTATTTAATTTTTTTAATAATTAGTTTATTGAGTTGGTATTGATAAGAAAGATGTATGTTCATAAGGATACACATATGGTATAGATGTGAGAGAAAAATGTATTTATATTCAAGTTTAACTGATCATAAATAAGGTATTAACAGTTGCATAAATATTTTCAACTTTTTTAGTTATTTAGTATTTTAAAGAATAATCAATGAAAATGTTGTATTGGTTAATGTACAGTCATAAGTTACAAAAAATAAAAATTATTTAGTTTTTTTTTTTCATGAATATTTAATATTAAGTAATAAAACAAATATCCATTGAAAAATCTATCAATAAATCTAGCTGTATATTTTAGGGCCATAGCTATTTTTAATAAATTAATCCTTATAGCATAACATATAGCTTAAAGTCTTATATATATATATATATATATATATATATTATTAATTTTATTAAATTTGGTTGGTATCATATTTATTTTCAGTGAATTAAATGCTTATGAATAAAATAGTTTTAATAGTTTAGGTATCGCCAACATTTTCCAAAAAGTGAGTTAAATTCAAAATATTTAGTTTGTAGCAAATTATATCTACTAATATAATTATGTTAAAAAGTATAAGCTTATTAAATATTAAGTTACTTTAAAAAAATGATTGATTCCTCTAAAAATTGACTTGTTTACAACCCTTGCATTTGTAAGATATAAATGCTTTCATTTTGTTTTTTGTATTTATTAAATCTGTAGTTGTAGATTATTGTCTAAGAAAAGTTAGGAGTACTATGAATTTTTTCTGAGGCTTTATATAAAATTAACATTTAAAAGTGTAAATATTGATACAACCTCAAGGTCATTGAGAAAGTTAGGGTTTAGAGGGTTTATGTTATATCATAAGCGAATAAATATTTATATTATACATATATTTATTACTATATGTATTACCCTACACTTTTAATAGTATTGTCTATATTTTGCATAGCACATAACAAAGAAATGTTTCTACTTGGTTACCATTGCCATTACATACTGAAATAGTCTGTTTCATAGTATGGTTTCTTAATCATTTAAATGAGAATGTATTTCTATTAGAATTATTACATCAGAATTTCTATTATTAGAATGAATCCCTAAAATAATATTACATCATAATTTTTTTTTTTATCACATTTTAATACTGTCAACCTAAGATTTACTATTAAGATTTATTATTGTTAACCTAACCTTAGAGTCTTAAATTTGTGAATTACACCGAGGCGAATTATATTAATTTGTTACTATTTATGTATTTGCTATTCCATACTTATCCATTCTGTTCTTTGATTGATATTTTATCTTTAAGAGTACACTACACCTGCATGTGTTGTCTCCGCCTGACAAATGTACAATATAGTTAATTCACGTTCAGTAGTTCAAATGTAGTGATATTAACCTAAATATTAGAGAAAACTGACCTATAATCAAACTGAGAGAAGAACGTTATCTGTATTTTTTTGGCCGGTTTTTTCTGGTATTTTAATTTTCATACAAGTTACAAGTATGTTAAGTATTACACATAAAAAAAAAAACTCATAACTTGCTTAAAAATTAAAATATTGTAAAAATCGATGAACAAATCACATATAATATTTTTCTCTTAAAGTTTTATTGTAGGTCTGTTTATTCATATAATCATATAAACATACTAACATTACTACATTTGAACTACTGAACGCATATTTGCTATGTTGTAAGTGTGCCAGACCATGTGTATGAGGTGTCCTCTCAACAATCAGTGACTGGATATAACCTTATAGAAAACAGATATTCTAAATTTGCGAACTGCACTCTGAGACATATCAACTTGATTTGTTTCTATTTATATGTTCGCTATATCATGATCGTCTATTGTTCTCTGGTTGATGATTTACTCTAAACAACCAGTTTGTGAACAGATGCTACATTATAATAACAGATTTATTAAATTTGCGAACTGCACTCTGAGATGTATCATCATGATTTGTTTCTATTTATATGTTCGCTATATTATGATCGTCCATTGTTCTCTGGTTGATATTTTATTCTAAACAACCAGTTTGTGACCGGATGCTACATTATAAACGACAGATTTTTTAAATTTGCGAACTGCACTCTGAGACGTGTCATCTTGATTTGTTTCTATTTATATGTTCGCTATATCATGATCATCCATTGTTCTCTGGTTGATATTTTTTCCTAAACAATCAGTTTGTGACCGGATGTAATATTAAGAATTAATTAATTAAGAATTAATATCCCAAATTCATAAAAATAATACAAACATGAAGATTTACCGGAACTTTATAATACATTTTCAGAAACCAGAGCTTTATGTAAAGCTCTCGTAAAATGTTGTTTCTCAAATTATTTGCACTATGTACAAAATAGTATAGTATCTAATCCTAAATATTTTTGGTCATATATAAAAAATTGCAAAAAGGTAAATCGCTTACCTACTATATTAGATTTAGATAATACACATTCTAATGACATAAATGATAAATATGTTTGTTATATATTTTGGTTAGTTTATTCATCTCTTAATTATAATATAAATAGTTATTTAAACAGCATAGTGTCAGAAAGTATCCATTTAAATAAATGTACAGTTACAAGGTTTGAAGTTTTTGATGTCCTAATGAAATTACATGTAAATATAACAATTGGTCCTGACCTAGTCCCTGAGATTTTTTTTAGAAATTGTTGCTACTCCTTAACATGCCAAATTCTTTTTCTATTTTCATTATCTTTATCATCAGGTATTTTTCCTACTATTTGGAAGACTAGTTACATAAATCCAGTTTTTAAATCTGGTTCAAGATCAAATGTATCTAATAATCGACCAATATCAAGATTAAGTGTATAACCTAAATTATTTGAAAAATTATTAGTGCCAAAACTTAGATATTTTTAAGTCCCAATTCTTGTAGACAACCAACATTATTTGATTTAAATCTTCCAAATTTATTGATTTATTACAGAGATTTAATGACTGTAGTGTCTAAAGATGGTGTTGTAGATGCAATATACATTGACTTAAAAAAAGCTTTTGATGGTGTTGATCATTTATTACTGATTAGTAAGTTAAATGCATCGGGAGTAGAAAATCAAATGATAAACTGTGTTCCTCCTATCTTATAGGTAACAAATTATTAAAATAGATAAATCGTCGTCCTCTATTATTCATGTAACATCTGGAGTTCTACAAGGTGGGCATTTATCTCCTCTCCTATTTATAACCTATATAAAGTATTTAATCATTGTAAGTATTTATTATTTGCTGATGACTTAAAGATATATGCTCAAATTTAATTATTTAGTAATTATAATAAATTACAATTTGATTTATATAAATTTTATGAGTAGTCCATAAAAAATAAATTGCAGATAAATGTGAATAAATGCTTACAAATAACATTTATAAGATCTAAATCTTTCATTCATAACCAATATGTAATGGCTCTAATCTCATTGCAGTTAACTACGTGAAAGACTTAGGTGTTTTCCTATCTAGTTATTTGTCATTCTCAAAACATATTACATATATTTGTAATAAAGCATCTAGTACATAAGAATTTTTAAAATGTAATTTTAGCAAATTTCTGAATATTACATGTTTAAAAATCTTATATATTGCACTAGTATAGTCCATTTTGGAATATGGTTCTATTATATGATAACCATACGTGTTAAGTGATATAATCAAGTTTGAATCCACCTAACATCGTTTTTTTAAATTAATCTCTTATAAAGTTAAAAATAATGAAATTAAGTATGATAAGTTGCTTGAAAATCTAAAAATACACCTTCTGTTGTGTAGAAGAAACTGTCTAGATGTTAAATGGATTTATAATCTATTAAATAATAAAATCAATTGTCCAGAAATTTTAAATTTAAAACCTATTAAACGTTCTTCAAGTATTTCTTCGTTCTTCTCCAATGTTTTTTTTTATCTACTCATACACAGAACTATAGTAGTAACTCGCTGGTAAATCGAATGCTTAAATTATGTAGTAAAATAAATAATTATGATTTTTTCAATTCATCAATTACTTTTCATTCATAATACCTTATACATATACTCTTATGGCTAACTTGTTTTATAACTTCATTTAGTTTTATTGCATTTATACAATCATTTAATTATTAAGTTATTTCGCTATGTAATATTTTATATTTGTATTTTGTCTATTATTAACTGTATTGTTTACCTTGCAGGCATAATCATCCTTTATGATGAAATATAAATAAAAATTATAGATAACCAACAACAAAGATTTTTACCGGGTGAAATTTATTCTGGGACATATGTTCTTGGTTTATTTCTATTTAATAGATTTTTTTTACATTAAATTGTAGTTGGGCAAGTTATTAAATAAATAATATTCATTAAATTAAAATATAATTTCTAATTTCTGATGTAGGTGGTAGGGTTTTTATGTATGATATGAGAACAATGCATTATTGAAAACTCTGAGCTTAGTAATTATAATTCATATTTTTTATTTGTATCAAGCAGATGAATAATCATTTTTAATATAGATTTATTTAATTTATTTTATGTAATTAAATCTCTTTTGTGGTCATTAAAACATTTCAGTATTTAAGAGAATAAAACCATATACATTAATTTTTATTTTGACAATAGTAAAAATATTATTAATATATATAAAATAGATATTTTTTCAAAACATTAATATCAAAAATATATGTTAATTTAAGTAATAATTATTGTTTAAAATTAAGTTGAAAACAATATTTTTTATTTATTTATTTATTTTTATTTTTTATTAATAATTATTATTTACATTATAGGTTGTTGGAGCTAAAGTTGTAACAAATGCAAAAACTCCAGGAGCTCGTTGTTATGGATTTGTTACACTATCTTCAGCCGAAGATGCTAATCGTAGTATTGAAAATTTACATAAGACCGAACTTCATGGAAGAGTTATAAGTGTTGAACGAGTTCGTTTTAATATTATATTTTCATTTAAATTATTTATATATTTTTTTTTTTTACGAATAACATTATTTACAGGCTAAGCGTGATAATGGTTATCAACAGACAACAAAAAGTACTGATGTATCTAAAATTAGTGAAAATTCAGAAGCTGAACGTAAAAATAAAAAGCCGGAAGAAAAAAAAGATAAACGAGAGGAGAAAAGAGAAAAGAGACCAGAAATTACAATTAATGATGATAAAAAACCAGATGTGCCAAAGGACCAAAAACGATCATGTTTGTATTCTTTATTTTGAGGGTATTACATAATTTATTAGTTATAAACTAAAGTTTAACAATTATAATCCATTTTCCCATTGATTATATAAAAGCTTATTTTATAATGTTTGAATAATTCAATTATTCAGTAAAACCTGTATAATATGGAAATGGTTATGACCGAATATTTTCCCCATTTTAGGCGAATTTCCATTTAATACAGGTCAACAACAAAAAAGTTAAATAAAAATGTTTTATTTTGTATATTATTTATTATTTATTAGATTTTATTAACTTTTTATTTTACATATTTATTTAAAAATTTTATGTAATTACGTACTCTTCTATAATTCTTCTAAAACTTTTAAAATTTTCCAACTAGCCATTTGATACTTTAAATACTGTGTGGCATTTGTTTAGCAATATGACATTATAAATAATTGATTCAGAAATGTATAAGTTTTTTGCTCTAGCCCGTTTATGTTTGATTTTGATTTTCTTTTCATCCAACCATTTTCTAAAACAAAAATTATACTATAAGTAGATTTAAGACTTTAAATATTCCATTAATTTGTATTGTTAAATTTATCATTCATTCATTCATTGTTCTTTTATTTATTTTTCGTTTTTTGGTTTAGTATTTTATAGACTTGACTTTTTCGACTTTTTAAAAGTTCACAAATTTGTTTTACTAATAATTTATCTTTTACATTAGATTCAATTAATTTTAATTTTTCATTTAAAGTTAAACATATATTCAATTTTGATGTACTGAGTTATGTAATAAATAACAATAAGTTAATACAAAAACGTTATATAGTCTGAGGTTTTATGAATCTAAAACACTACTACAAGTTACAAGTCTAACAAAAAAATATATGTAGTGTAATGAAATAATCCTAATCAATATAGATAATATTTATTATCTGATCATTTTCAAATAGGTATTTCCATAATGAACAGGTAAATGACAAAAATATTGTTTCCCATTTCCACGTTAGACAAGTTCCATCTTACTCAGGGCATGATGTATCAGAGTTGCTGAGATTGAATAATTTTTCCATATTAGTACGGTTTTACTGTATTGATATTCTGCTAATTAAAAACATTTTGTACTACTTTCTATTATCAAATTATTTATATATAGTGTTTAATCACATTTTATACTATATAAAGTATAAGCATTTTGTTTTTGAAGTATAAAATTAGGTATTTTCATGTCCAAAGTTTTAAATAAATTACTCTTGAATCAAAATATTAACAATTTTAATTATTGATTAATTATTAATTTTTCTATTTAATTTATAAAACCAAAATCCTTTTTCAAAAAATTAATGTGTGTGCGTATATATATATTAAATTTACTATATTTTTTATTCATTTTTAGTATCTAAAGATCAATGCCTAGAAACAAAGCGTTCAAAAATTGTTATTGAAAGAGATGATCGTAGAAAAGATAGAAGTATTAAAAGTAAAAGTAATGAACGTGATAGAGAACGGCTAAGAGAATTAGAACGTGAACGAGAGCGTTTAGAAAGAGAGAAGAGAAGACAGCAAGAGATATTAAACTTCACAAAAATGAAAGTAAGTCTTTTATTCATAAATTAATATTTTTTCTATTGGTGTTTAATATAATAAAATAAATTTAATAAATAAATATAATAAAATTTATAATATTTATAATAAAAATTAAATTTCTTGTTTTATTGTGATTTCTCCTAGACTGAACGAGAAAGACAAAAACAAAAAGAACAAGAAAGAGCAATGAGAGAAGAAGAACGTAAGAGACGTATTGAAAAAGAACGTCAATTAGAAATAGAAAGAAAACAAAAAGAAGAAGCTTTTCGTCTAGAAAAGTTAGCTTTAAAAATATTTATATTTATATTAATAAAATTATTATAATTTATATATTATTTAACAAGGGAAAGACAAAAACTTAGAATTGAACGTGAACGAATCGAAAAAGAAAAGGCTGAATTATTACGTTTGGAACGTGAAAATCAAAGATTAGAACGAGAAAGATTGCAAAGAGAAAAGGAAGAATTGCGTAGAGCACAAGAAAAGCTTGAAGAAACAAAACGCCAGGCAGTGCTTAAACGTGCCATGCCTCCTTCTCCACCGCCTAGTAAAAGACATTCATCAAATTCATCCCGTTATGATGAAAGGTATTTTTAAATTTTCATACCCTACAATGCTTCTACTTTTATATCTTTTAAAACTATTAATTTTCATCTGTTATTATACAATTATATTTTTACAGAAAAGAACCAGTTCGTAGTTCTCGTGTACAGTCTAGTACAGACTATATAAGCCAAGCAGCTCCACCTCCTCCTAATATAACTTCATCTAGACACCGTTATGAACAGCATTCATCAGATTCTCGCCGTTCTAGACCATCACCTCCCCCTCCTCCTCCTCCTGCTTCAAGACCTAAGGATTCTACTGTTAGCATGAGGTGATAATTTAATTTTAATAGAAATAGTTACAAATGATTTTCAAAAATTTTAACAGTATAACTGTAGTAATTTAATTACAATTGGTAAGAATTTCGTTAAATAATATTCAGCCATTTGACAGCTAAATAGTTTTGTTAATAATTATCTTGGTTTGTATAAACTTGTGATACAGTTGAAATAATGTTTGATATCGTTTTCAAGACTATTTAATAAGTTTTTCTCAATGATATTTTTTGTCTTGAAGTGTATTTTCATAACTAGGGTCCGGATTTGTATGCACTTAAAAACCTTAAATAGTATGCATTTATGCATCAAAAAACCTTTAAATATGCACTAGATATGCTCTTATTTTTTTTAAAAAATATGCAAAAATATGCTCTTACCCAAAATATATGCATTTATAATTTTTTTTTTTTAATTTTTTCTTTATATATTAATAAATAATAATTAATACAACATAATCAAACAAACTTAATTTTTTTATTACCGGCACTGCGACATCAACTTACAACATTAATTAAAGATAAAAAATGTTTAAAAATTACATTAAATTAATAAAGTGCACTTTAGTTAAAAATAATAATTAAAAAAATGTATTTAATTCTTTTATACCAATGAAGACAATTTATATATATAAAAAAAACAATTTAAACAAATAAAAACATTTTAATTACCTAATAGATATAAATCGATATTTACTTTTTATAAAAAGAGTTAACAATAATATACTCTTCCATATGTTCAGGTGTCATATTTATTCTTCTATCACTTAATATATGTTTATATAGACTGAAGGATCTTTCCACATCTACTGACGTCAACGGTGCATATTTCATATTTGCCACAGAGCAAGGATTGAAATTTTCTGGAATCTGTATTTCATTGTTACCTGATATAACTAGTCCGATTTGTTCTAGTACTTGAAATCCTTTATTTTTTTGATATAACTGAGGTATTTTATTTTTTATGATAGAACCTTTGTCACCTTGTATATTTGATAGTTCGGAAATTATATTTTTCGTAATCTCTAACGATTGTAGTAATGTCAATTTAGTATCTTCTAAGTTTGTGATTGCCCGAATAAGTCCAGAAAAGTTAATTTTTATAAATGTTAAATCATTTTTCACTGTAGTCAAATTGAACATTTTTTTACAATTATCTACACTTGCTGAAGAATCATTATCTAGTTTTTCTATTACACTTTTAATATCTTCATAGTTATTTGCATTAAATATAACTGCCTCTATCCATGTCCCCCATCTTGTAATAACTGGTTCCGGGGGCAATGGTAAACCAGGTAGCATTTCTTTATATAGTTGAATACGAGAAGGTGACTTTAAAAAAGATTTTTTTACATTGTTAATTAATTTATTTACATCGGGGAATAACTCTCTTACCTTTTCTGCTACTCTGTTTAACATATGTGCTACGCATGTTACATGGATGATATTTGGGTAAAACACTTTTAATGCATCTCCAGTTTTAACCATATATGGCGCTGCATCTGATAAAAACAATCTTAGGTTTTCGTCATTTCCCCCAGCGGGCCATAATATTTTTAAACTATCGTTAATAAAACGAGATACGGTAGAGTGATTTGTTTTTGGCAGTTCTTTACATGCTAATAGATAGGGTTGACTTGGTGTATCACATTCTAAAACGCCAACTAATAAATTTGCTATATAACGGCCGTTTGTATCAGTTGTTTCGTCAACAGCAATCCAAATATCTGAATTTCCAATAATTTCTTGGATTGCATTTATAACATTATTGTAACATGGACCAAGATAATTTTTTCTAAGTATACTTTCATCGGGAATATGCTTACCTGTGTACTTTTCCAAAAAATTCTTGAATTCGGGAATTTGAAGTTTATTCCATGGTATATTAGCGACTATCAAAGCTGAACAAAAATCCTCGTTAAAAATGTTACCAGATTTAGGTTTTGCGTCCAATACAAAAAATTGTTGTTTATTATCATTTGCTTTACGATTTAAAGCACTTTTATGCAAAGCAGTATCAACGTGTTGTTGTATTTGAAATTTTTTGGTGCAAACGATTTTTTTGTCACACAATTGACAAAACACTACTGAACCGTCCGTAGTAAAAATTGTGTGGTCTGTTTTATTATACAATGCAATCCATTGTTTTATTAAAATTTGAATATTACTACGACTTTTCGGCATTTTAAAATTTACGAGCGTAAAAAAAATTATTAAAGAAATTTGTTTGTATACGGAATGCGGATTACGAAATTATATTTATAGGCGATTACCGACTGGCGACTACAGCACGACGCGCGACGATTAAATACCAACTAAATGTAAAACAACAAGAGCTACGATGCAGCGTGTTTATCCAATATAAGACTTAAAATCACGATAATAATAATAATAATAATCATGCTAAAAATATAATTGTATGAAGGAAATTTATATATAACTGGTCTTCATTGTTGTCGATCGATGTGTTTCGATAAGCAAGATATGGTTTTAATACAAATTAAATATTTCCCCACAATACTTCATAAACTCATAAATCTAGTTTCTATAGTGAAATATAAATAAAATAACTATTATGTACCAAAATATGCTTTATTATGCCGAATTCTTCAAATATGCTCTCAACCTTAAAATATGCATTTATATGCAAAATAAACTTTTTTCTATAGATTCTCTGCTACACAAATCGTTCACATTTCTTACTCCCGTTGAACTGCATACACTCATTACAAATATGTAAATGCATAAAAATCCGGACCCTATTCATAACAAAAACTTATAATTACATATTTATTATTTTATTAGGAAATAATAATATTAATATTACTTATACACTCTATAACCAATAATATTTTGTTTGTAGAAAATATAAATATTATTTTGGTAATTTAAATAGACAGAATAATCACTATTGTTACCAATAGATCAAAGTTCTTATATATTATTATGAAATGTTAAAATATTCATAGTATTTTTGAACTTTGTAAATCAAAATTCAACCATTGACAGCTAAACAATTATTTTAATATTAGTTTATGTTTGTACTGGATTATGAAACAATAATATTATTGAAATTGAAATTATTCTTAATTATATGTTAAATGAAATTAGTTAACAGTAGTATATAATTTGTTGAATTATATTATGTATCCAGGGATGGGCAATATCTTAGATACTTATTTTCAAAGATGTGTATATCTTTTCATTTTGTTTACTTAAAAATAAAAGATACAAATAAAATACATTTTTTTCTAGAAAGAAATAAGTCAATTTTAAATTTTTTTATGTAAATATATGTAGTTGACTGATATATGCACTAAATTTAATGGATATTTTGTGAAACAAGTTTTAAATAAGTAGAGATTTTAGGATAAATTGGGCTAAAATATTTGTTTACTGCTACACAAATTAGTGATCTTGGATTGTTTTCTTTAGTTTGTTTTGTGTATTTGCGTAACACGTTCTAGGTTATATGATAAAATGTTTGAAAATATAATATTTCTTTAAAAAAAATGGCTATTTTTAAATAAAAGTACTAAGTAAAGAGTGGATTTAATTGATATTGCAACTTTTTATTGATACCCAGTAAATCAAATCTGATCAAATATGTATACGAATCAGTTTAATTACAGTCTTCCTATTTAATTTAATTTAATTTTTTGCAATTATTGCAATTTTTGTATACTTCACGTGATAAAATATACAAATTATTATTTCCCAAGTGATTTTACTTAAAAAATATAACTACGACGTAAATTTTTACAAGTAGTTAAATGTATTTTAGGATTTTTAAAATTATATTTATCTGAGCTGTCCACAAAACTCACAAGTTTAGAAGAATCAAATGGTCAATTACTTATTAGTTTAAACATATTTAGTATAAATATTCCCAGTCCCAATGGAAAAATAGTTAAAGATAAATTAAAATATGTCTTAGAAAAAAATGAAGGATATAAAACTATTAAAACTTACTCTGAGATTGACAGGAAATCAAAATGTTTATTTAGATACATCGCCCAATTTTTAAACTATTTTAAATATGCATCGATAACAAGTGTCGATGTTGAACGTACTTTTTCATTATATAAACATATTTTAAATATTAGACGATACTATTTTCAAGAACACAATTTAGAGATGTATATAATTATAAATTTGAATTCAGAAAAATTATATATTTTGTAAATATTATATTGATGTCCATAATATTATTTAAGTAATTAATTAATGATTGTATATTTGATATGATTTTACTATGTAATTTTAATGTATTTCATTGCAATTTTGGCATCTTTTTAGTGCAATTTCAAGATATTTTTAATGCAGTTATATCCGATCTTTAGTAATAAGTAATAAATTAAGTTTATTTGAAATTAATTTTTTTTTTTTTACTATTCTAACAAAAAATAATAGACCAAGAATCTATTACTATATCACTTAATAAATGTTTGTGAGTTTTAATTTTTTTTAAAATAAACAATATTGAAATATAATGAATTTTAATACTTTAATCTATTTTAGTATTAATTAAAAAAAAAAAAATGAATTGTATTTTGTACTTGGTTTCTTTTAGAAATTTCAAATGTATCTTATATCTTTGGGAGAAAATGTATACATCTAGTATCTATGTACTTATTTTCAAGTATCTTGTCCATCCCTGTGTATATCAATAATATTTTATTCTTTTACTTTATATTATATCGTAGTAATAGAATTAATTAGTATATAGTAATTAATTGATAGATATTATTTATCAATATTTTATTTGTAGGTATGGTGCTCCGCCAGCAACAGATCACCATTACAGGAGTCGTGATGATCGGTCTGATCGAAGAGAAGATTCTCGTAGAAAAGAGTCATCAAACAGTGGTAGTAGTAGTCTACATGCTCATTCATCATATGATTCAAATAAAAGTTGTAAGTGTTCAAAGCAGTTATTACGTTAAATAATTTCTTATTATATAACAATTTATATTAATTTCAGCATATGGAATGTCATCCCGTAACAGTGAAAGCAATTCATGGTCATCAGCAGCTGTGAAAAACTCTTATAATTCACTTGGATCAAACTCTGGATCTAGTAGTATGGTATTGAATACAAGACCAGATCCATGGTCAAATAGTAGTAGTCGTGAAATAGAAACAAATGTGTGGCAACGTCCTCCTCAACCACCATCTGATAAGTATGTATAACATAGTTCTTATTGTATTAGTTATAAATAAAATTTCTCTAAAATGTTTGTATTTGTTTTTAGCAGGTGGAATAGTACTTCAAGTAATCCTTCTTCTATGTCAATTAGTGGACGTAGTTCAAGTAGTAATCCATTGTATGTTAATAATCATCAAGTAATACCAAACATGGGATTAAATATGTCTTCAAACTACTCAAGTGATAATAGATTTGATAGTTACAAAATGAGCGGTATGTCACGCAAATATTAGATATTCTCATTTAATCAGAAACTTTTGATTAATAATAATGTGAATACTAAATACTGAGCACAACACATTCCTTTGTCATTGTGCCCTCAAACATAATTTAAATATATATATAAACTATATATATATTTAAATATATAAACAAATAATGAGTATCTGTATTAATTTTTATATCTTATTGACGCATGTTATATCTGATTGTAAAATTATAGTTTAAATTATTTAATTTTACGTATATGTACATTTTAGGTAAATTTATTATTTAACTTTTTAAACTAAGTTATTTTTTATTCATATGTCTGTAATGAAACAATTAAAGTTATTCTAAATATTATTTATTTAGGTTTATATTGTACATAAGTGTGAATGAATTCATTATCTATTGTTATAGTCCAAAAAAATGTAAATTATTCAAACCAATTAGCTTCTTGATATAACATTTGAATAAATAACTATGTATTGATATATTTCTATACATTATTTACTCTTATATTTTGTAATATGAATATTATTTAATGATGTATTATGCAACTATGAATTATCTGAATAATATATAACAATATAGATTGTGCTTAACAAAATAGTTTATAAGAGCTTTTTACTAATTAATAAAAAAGTTACATCAATATAAAATCTCTATCAAAGCATTTGAACTAACCTAACCTTATACGAATACCTCAAGTAATCGGTTTCTTGAGTATTTCGCTTATAGAATATTAGTTACTATGATACAATTTCAGTTTATAAGTGATAAATGAGCAAATTGTAGGCAATTTTAAATCATGTATAGGTATGTGTAATTATTTAAAATAAAAGGATATATGTATGCATATACATTTTTATTGCTAAATGTGATGTCTATGCTTATGAAGGCTTTTACTCTGAACTTGTTCAAATGATTAAATAGTTGGTAAAATTGTCTGATATATGGTACATGATGCAGATCATCACTCAAAATAGGGCATCTATATTTTAGAATCATAATTTTTGTCGCTCTTGTCTTATAGTCATGGTTATCATATACAATATTAGCATTGAAAAACCTATTAATCTTTTTCACAATAAGCTTGTAGTATCGTGTAGGACGGTGAAATGTAAAACTACATATCTAATGCTGTTGATTTATTATGTTGTTGTATCAGTGATTGTGTCTATACTTCATTCAATTTTGCCTAGTATTAATTCTTTATAATTTGTGAGTTCAGCATTCGGATTTAATTGAGTTAATGAACGGATAGGTACATTTTTTTTACTGGGATCTATTAGGGCCATATATAACAAAGAACTGTATGATAAGTTAAACATGTGTAATTTAATAGATTGGGGGCTCAGCCCCCTCCCCAAATGGAATGGTAGCCTCCAAAACAAATTAAATTATGTACATTTCACATCTGGTATAATATTGAGATATGGTTGTAGGCCTTCCTCAAATGTAATTCTACTTGTGTCTATATATAAATTATCACTTTACTCACTATATTTTAATGTTGATGTATATTTAAAATGATAACAGTTTATTAAATGTATTACTTCTAGCAACTGATTTTTTAATAATATAAATTAAATTAATTGTATTCAGTTAATCTTTTTTTTAAATTTTTTTCTACATTCATTAACATAAAACTATCCAAAATGTCTTAGCTAAATGTCTTTCTTAATTACTTTTCAACTGTTACATCCTACTTGGGTTAAAGCTTATGATAAAATTATTTTTTAAACAATAAAAAGACTGCAGTATGCATTTGTTGTGTATACATTGTACTTTACCAGCACATCAAAGCAACAAAGTCCACAATATTTTATATTATTATTTGGAATATGGCTGCATGATACTAAACCAGGGACTGAAATCATACTGAAAAAAACCGGACTTGAATAAAAGGTGGTACACGTTAATATTCGAACAATAGCATGACTACTTTATTATAATAGTACAATATTATATTCGTAATAGTATTAGTCGAGAGTCCTCCAGTGTGTTACGAAGTGGCGATTTTGACAATAATTTTCTAGGGAAGCGATCTATAATTTTACCAAAGTAACTCGTGAGAGGTTTACCCTCCCTCCCACACAACTACTCCGTTACTTAAGCTACTTAATAAGTGTCTATTACTTTAAATATTATACTAAAATAACAATAAATAATCTAATTCAAGAAAATTTTTTTTTATATTTCATATTCACTGGTTTTTATAGCAAAAATATGCATTGATACATCATACATCCCAAATATATACTGGAAAAAAATAGAAAAATAGTTATAGTAAAAACATGTATTTATATATAAAGTTGAAAAGCATACTAAACAGTCTGAAATTGAATCATTAATTTCGGAAAGGCCATTTCTCCATACATTTTCAAAACTAGTTTTATGTGATAGATGTGTTTTAACTAATAATAATGCATATTTCCTGCGAGACCGCCATATCATAGTTGGTTTTTTATAAGGGAATTAAATAATTCATCCCATTTTCAATTTTAATCTAAATTTAATTTTGATCTCTAAAAATAGTTTTTTACGTTTCCTGACAGTTTTCATTTTATGGATGTATGGCCTTTTCGAAATGACCGATTCAATTTAAGACTTAAGTAGAAAGATACGTAATAATAAAATAAAAAATGCATTACATGTAATTTGTATCTTAAAAAAAATTAACATTATTTTTCAGTTGAAAAATTGTATATATAGTTTAGTTTAATAATAACTAGTACTTTATAGAAGATATAAATAAAATATAACATAATAATAAACAAGTATAGGTATATCTAAATTTAATAATTTGTTCCTTTTTTCTTTAAAAATAATTCAAAAATAAAAATTTACCAAACTAATAAAATAACAAGTTAATAATAATTTAAAAAAATGATTCAATAAATCTAAATATTCAATTAAAATATTTTTAGTTAATAAAATTCAATTAATAAAATGTAATAAGTAAAATAAATGAAACAGATGACTTTCTTGTTTCAAATTATAAATTATAGATTAATCTTATAGATAAAATATTTAATAATCAGTTTCTTTACTGACTAGAAAAGTTTTTGTAATAAAAATAACAGAATTATGTACATATTGTTTAAAAAATAAAAAGAATATTAAGTTTTATATATTAGTTCAATAACTCTGTTATTTTGACTAGCATACATATTTATGACATCATCATAAAATGGTTCGGTTTCTTAAAGTTTTTGTATTAATAATTTTTCAATTGATTTTGTTGATAAAGATCTTAAATGTTATTGGCAAGTACTATTTCTCAGGTATATTTTAATTCTTTTTAGGCAAGAAAAACTTCTCTCAACCAAAACACTAGTTGATGGAATTGTTAAAATGAATGCAAATCATTTATAGACCTTAGGCATAACTTCTTTTAATCCATCATTCTTGAAGATTTTAATCCGGTCATAAATATTTTGAAGATTGTGATACCTAACATCATTATATAAAACTTCTAATTCAGTTTTTAGTTTATTTTCTTGAAAAATATTAGTGAATGTATTTTTAAGGCAATTCAGGCCACTTTCAGGAAATTTACTGGAATATTCTTTAAATTTTGAAACATCACCCAACTGTAAAAATTTTAATTTATCAGTGTCACTAAATCTTGTATTCAATTGCATTATAATATTATCAATTATTTCATTAAATAATATTTGAAAACTTTGTTCATTTTTAGAATTTTGTCTTGCTGTGGTATGTTTTGTTAATTCAACTGCTGTATTAAAATAGTTAAAAAAATATTCTTCACTCTTTTTTTGTGTTATGAGATCACATGTTATTTTTATTTTTCTAAGACAATATTCTATGTCAAAGGATTTACATTGTAAAGTATTAAATAAGTGGTTAGTGATTAAAAATATATCATTGAAAATGTGTGCTATAAAAGCAAACTCAAGACTTTACATTTTTTGAATGCCTTATAACACCACAAATAGCTTAAAAAAAATGACCACATAGTACACAAAATAAAACATGTCCATTGGATTTAAATGTATCATTAAACTCCGAAACAAAACTTTGTAGTCGGCTACTCGTAGACTGGTGTACTTTCGGCATTACACAATGTTACAAAATATACGCGTACGTTTTACGTATGATTCGACGTTGTGTGGTTGCGAGACGCAAAAACAACGACGGATAATAATAATCGACTGAACTGAACACTTAACAAATAATTATTCTATATCGACTATTTTTTAACAACATCCGGTCAATATCCAGTGGGTTATACGGTCGATATGGGTTTATAGTACTATCTATTCTTATACAAAAATTTTAATGAAATATGAGAGGTAGTTTACAGATAGCATATTACTGGAAGTATTACCTTAAGTTTTCTTAGTACATTTTATTTTCGATTGGTTGAAATATGTATATTTAGTTATATGTGTCTGTACTTTTTAATTTGAAATTTGAAAAAAATTTTATCTCATCTATATCTGTGTTGACAATAAGCAGTTTTATAATAAGGAATGCCGCGCGCGCCATGAATCATAAACATCTATTTACTATCGCGGATACCATTGTGAGGAGGCGAAAATATTAAATATCATATTATATTATTTTTTATTATATTTTTTCGCTTTGTCACATGCGCAGTTCAAATGATTGTATGTGTGTGAGTGTATAATTTCGTGTACGCTTTAAATTCACGGTAGACGACTGAATCAGTTGCCGTCCCAAGCCTCTACACTGGATACGAGTACGAAAAAAACTCGATATTGTTATAAAATCATAGAAAATAATGATTGGCCAATGGGGGGCGCATAGCTTTGGAGCCGTGTGGAGAGATGTTAATTTAAAACGCTTATTTTTCAACAATGAATTCATATTAATTGTGTGTTGAATATTATTTTTTCAATTAAAAATTTTGAAAAAAAACTTAATGATTCGTTAGAAAAACAAATTTTTTAAAATAAAGATTTTTTAAGCAATGAAAAAAATATTTTTTTTTTCTTTTCAAATTTTCAAGAGAGGTGGTGCCTCCCTTGCCTCATAGAGAAAACCGCCACTGGTGTTACGTTGGGCTGCACGTTTACCTTTGACGTTCGGTCCCTGGCGAACGCACAAACCCGTCGGTTGTTGGCGCATTACTTCCGCCGCGGCGTACGGAACCAGTTGACTGACGGTCGTGATTTAACGAAAGACGAATGTTGTTGCCGCGG